AGTATACCTACTCAGTTCCACTAAACATAATTCTCAAACTTTTCTCTGGGAACGTAATGCGGACGAACGAAACGATTTAAGGGATGATTAGGTGAGAATTGTTCAAACATTCTGATTGACTATAAATCTATCCGTAGCATCCCTTAAAAAACGCTAATAAATTATGCTCAATTCCACTATAAAGAATTTTCAAACTTAGTGGGTTTTCTTAAGGGACGTAAAGCGCGCGATCGAGACAATTTAGAAGATGATTAAGTGGGAACAATTGAAATATTTTGACTCATTATAGATCTATAAGTATCATCCCTTAAAAAACGTTAATAAAGTTCGAAAAATTATGCATAGTTCCATTAAAAATAATTTTCAAGCTTAGTCACTTTTCTCAGGGAACGCAATGTTGACTGTCGAGACAATTTAAGGGATGATGAGGTGGGAATTGTTCAAATATTCAAATTGATAACAATACTACACGTATCATCCCCTAAAAAACGCTAATAAATTTCAAAAAATTATGCTCAGTTCAACTAAAAATAATTTTCAAACTTAGTTACTTTTCTCAGCGAACGTATTGCGGCCGATCGAGACGGTTTAAGGGATGATTAGGTGAGAATTGTTCAAACAGTCTGATTGACAACAAATCTATATGTATCATCCCTTCAAAAACGCTAATAAATTTCGAAAAATTATGCTCAGTTCTACTAAAAATAATTTTCAAACTTAAGTCACTTTTCTCAGGGAACGTATTGCGGCCGATCGAAACGGTTTAAGGGATGATTAGGTGAGAATTGTTCAAACAGTCTGATTGACAACAAATCTATACGTATCATCCCCTAAAAAACGCTAATAATGTTCGGAAAATTATGCTTAGTTACACTAAGAAAAATTTTCAAACAGTCGGTTTTCTTAAGGGACGTAATGCGGACGATCGAGACGATTTAAGGGATGATTAGGCGGGTATCGTTCAAACAGTCTGATTGACAATAAATCTATACGTATCATCCCCTAAAAAACGCTAATAAAGACAAGTTCGAAAACTATGCTCAGTTTTACTAAAAATAATTTTCAAACTTAGTGACTTTTCTCAGCGAACGTATTGCGGCCGATCGAGACGGTTTAAGGGATGATTAGGTGAGAATTGTTCAAACAGTCTGATTGACAACAAATCTATACGTATCATTCCCTAAAAAACGCTAATAATGTTCGGAAAATGATGCTCAGTTACACTAAAAAGAATTTTCACACAGTCGGTTTTCTTAAGGGACGTAATGCGGACGATCGAGACAATTTGGGGGATGATTAGATGGGAATTATTCAAACAGTCTGATTGACAATAAATCTATACGTATCATCCTCTAAAAACCGCTAATAAATTTCGAAAAATTATGCTCAGTACTACTAAAAATAATGTTCAAACTTAATCGGTTTTCTCAGGGAACGTAATGTGGACTATCGAGACGATTTAGGGGATGATTAGGCGGG